GGAGAAATATATTTGATATTCAAAAAAATGATCCCTGGATGATAGGGAAAATATTTTTTCTAACTTTTGAAAGAGTTGAATATTCTTCTTAAATCCCTTAGAAATGTTTTGGAGAAAATGTCACGAGCGAAAACTTTAAGAAGAAATAAAAATCCGTGAACTTGTATATTTCGACAATATTAAACTCCAATAATATTATTATAATTAAAACTATGTTAATTTAACATAATTTTTAAATATAATTTTTTTTAATAAAAGAAGTTTGATGATGTTACGCGATGTGGCGTATCAATGATGTAAAATTATGGTGTAACTTGATGACGTAGTTAACGTATTTGATGACGTATTTTGATCATGAATTATTATTGTTATTACTAAGTCTTGGCTGTGTTTCAGAAAACAGTTTTCCTTGTTTGCCATATATATAGCTCCTGCAATCAAAATAACTCTTAACAGCAGCGCAAGTTACATTTAAAGCAATGTTTTCATGCTTTCATCTCAGATTTTTAAAATATCGTTTTATTTATATAATACTGTTATTACTACCAATCAAATTAATTTTTAACCGCAGTGCATGTCGCTTTTAAAGTAGTGTTTCCATACTTACAGATACAATTTTTAAAATATCGTTTGATGTTTGATAGTTTGAACGTAGTTTTATGCAATCTTCACATAAAGTAATTGAGATAAACTAGATTTATATTCATTTATTATTTAAAAGAGTATGAATGTCTACAATGAATAAATTTGTAGAGTCCGAGAGAATGTAAATCGAAAGTAAAAGATTCACACCCTGCATCGGACTATTTGGGGATGATTCTTAGCAGGAAATGGTTAGTTTTCTTAAGTTGTTGGTTTCGAAAGTTGCTTATCTTTATTCTGTATATCAGAACAGACACGATGTATGCGAAATTTAGTGGAAGATTTCTGAAAATCAAAACTGATTCTAACTAATTAAAAAAAAATTTGATCCCTAGAAAGGATGCCAGATAGTGAATTTCTTTGGATATAAATCAACTTCTTATAACTTTATGACTGTTACGTATTTAGAGATACTTTTTAACCCCCGATTTTTTTAAATAGGTTTGAAATTCCGATTGACTTTATTTCAGAAAACAGGTGTTCCTTATAAGTAAAATATATAGCTCCTACAAAATGTTGAGGATGCAATTTATAGGGGTAATATCATACGGCTACGAAGCATTACCGGGTGATTAACTGATTACTGAACATATATTAAATGTGTATCTCCTATAAATTATCACTGATCACATTTACAGTGATTATATCGTACATCCACGTGAAACATTTTCTGATGATCATCTAATTACTTTAAATATATTAAATATGTAGCTCCTGGAAATTATTACAGATCTAATTTACTGTAATAATATCATATGGCCACGTGAAGCACTCTCAAATCATCAACACATATATTAAATATGTAGCTCCTGTAAATTATAAAGAATCCAATTTGTTGGGATAAAATCATTAATCTATGAAAAGAATTCACGTTTGATGAACTAATTACTTTAAAGATATTCTATATGTAAATTTTGTAAATCATTGCACATCTAGTTGACAATGGTAATATTAAACGCCCACATAAAGCATTCACAATTGGTCAATTTATCTCTTCACAGATGCTTTTACGGTAGCTCCTGCCAATTATAAAGAATCCAATTTGCTGACGTAATATCATACAAACGACGCGAAACATTCCTAGTTGATTAACTAATTTCTTTTCAGATAAATATGTAAAACTTTTAAATTATTACAGTTTTAATTTAAAGATGTAAACTCATACGGTCCCGTGAAACATTTAAGGGTGAAAAAATAATAATCTTTAAAAATGTTTAATATATTACTCCTGTTAATTACTACAGAAATCGTTTACAACGATAATATGTCACGGGAGACACTGAAGATTAATAAACTTATTATTTTACAAATGTTAAATATATAGATTATTACAGATCCAATTTACAACGGCAAAATCATACGGTCTCGGGATGCATTCACGTTTGATCAACTAATAACTTTACAGACAGTTGTACGGATGATAAATATGTAGATTATTACAGATCCAATTCACAGTGGTAAAATCATACGGTCTCTGGATGCATTCTCATTTTATAAACTAATTACTTTACGGAGAGTTGTATAATATATTAACGATTCTTGAAACCAGTTAGTTGATGGATCACATTTAGCTGAGCTGTAAACTTTACTGATTCTGGTTTTTAATCTCTGTAATTGAGTGACCACGTTTAAAAACTTGGTCTTCAAATCCATAGATGCAACGCCTCTCTATATAACCACCTGCATCATGCATCTATCTTCTAAATAATAGTTAAATGCTTATTTAAAGGTAGGGATGTTTCCATAAACTGAACAGAATTTCTGCTTCCAGAAAAATTAGTTAAAATTTGCTAATTGCTAAAACCCAAAGATAAAATTAAATAAAATTTAGAAAATAAAATATAAAAATTATACAAATAATATTTTGTTTTATGCTGATGGAATGTGCTACACAGAACCATTTATTACATTGTAATATTTTGAATAATGGGATATTTTCCTTAAAAATATATTTTTATGTGATGTTTTCAAATTAATATTTTTTTTAAATATATTTTCTATTATTTTGGCATACATGCACTTTTTATACGATGTGTGTTATTAACAAGTCCAAAAATTTTGCAATCAACTTAGAAAACTAAATCATAAGGAAACCGAAATAAATGTTAAAATGTTTCGTATAATTAATCAAATGTTTTCTTTTGTATGAAAAATAAATCCATTTCAAAATAAGCAAACTTGTAAGGAATTTAAATTACATCCTCTATTTTATTTATATTTTAGTACTTCTGAATGTAAGAGAAAAATTTCTTAAGAACTCGCCGCCATAATGCAACTTAAAATGATGTACATCCCAAAACATCCTAAAATTTTCTCGAAATTGAGTATTACAGACAAAATATGACTCAAGAAATAATATATCACTAAGGAATTCTCAGTTTTTTTATTTTTTCTACTAGTATGCTGGTTGATAAAAAATATCATCGGGGTTTACAAAGAACATACTGAGTTTTTTACACCCATGATAAATAACGGTTAAGGGCAATAAAAACTAGTAAGCACATATTTTTACTACTACTTTCTCAGCTTCCCACTGATGTCAACTCTTGCTTCCGAAAATTATAAGTTCCCGGGGGTGAAGTTATCAAAGCATTTTGACACTGTAAGATCATAAAAAGAACATTTCTGTATTTTGCTTCACTTTTTTCCTCCAAAGGAAGATACATTTTGGAGTTTTTATTTCTTCATCATTTCATCTTGGGACTTAATTCCAGTCCGTGATTTATCCCGCGTAAAGATAAAAAGCCATATTTTTATAGACTCAACAAATACAGGGTAAGAGTTATATTTGTAATTACTTTTATATATTTGTCTGGTATAGAAAGTAGAGTGTATTGTAAAAGTACTTTTATTCACTGGGATATAGGGTATTGGTCAGTAAGATCTATGATTTAATGATTACAGTAATCTATCACTGTTTTGTGGCTGTCTTGCTGCCATGGAAATAATATATTTCTGTCTTGTAATGGAAAACATTAATGGTTTCAGCAGCTTTATAAGAATGATAAATTAAATTTCAAGATCCGAATAACTTGCAAAATAAATAAAAAATGCATAAACATTTTTTCTTTCTTTATAAACACAGACATGGTGTCTATGATTTGTAGATAAAATTATTATAATGCATGAAGAAAGAAATTCTGGTAGAATTGCCATACTATATAGTGATAACGTTTCTGGTGGTAAAAAAAAAACGTAATTCTGATATTAATTCATACATACGGTACTTAAACCATTCATAATTTGGTAATATTCCCGTTCATATGGTCAGGGTTTATTGGAAGTAACGGTTTGCAAAAATGTAGTTCTTACAACCACACATTTAGCATAAAATACAAAATAAAAAGTATGTTTTATTGAATAAATAGTTTTTATTCCATGCTCTAAGACACCATTATGAAATTATTAAATATTACTACCTTTACTAAATTTTATCATATTTTATTTTTAGTTATCCAAATTCATCACCAAAATAAAAAATTTATTATCTTGTATTTCATGGTTTAACTAGTTATTTCATAGAATAACGATCTGCAGCCTGTTAAAGTGTAAAATAATCTATATGCTAGAGCTCAAAGTTTAGGTACTGGTCAGGGATTTAAAAAATGTTCGTGTAAAACCCAGTTTGTCAACAAAAAATGTTTTTGTTTCAGAAATAATGTTCTTTGTAATTCGAAGTGTCATTTTAGTAATCCTTGTTGTAACAAATGATTTTATGGTACGTTTCCATAAATACCATTTATACGCTGCATAAATTAGATAAATTGCTTCGTTTTCATTTTAATTGTCTATCATTAGTTTATTTATAGAATACCTAGTTATTTCATAGTANCAGGAGTTTTGAAAAGATATATATATATATATATATATATATATGCATAAATCAAAATATGGAAACTTATATAAAAAGGGTAAAATATGAAAATATATTTTAATAGACTTACTAAGCATTGCGTTAGATTTAAAGGTAATTTACATATTTTTTATTACAGTATTATATTATGTATGTATAAAAAAAATAATTAATGAAAAATGCGTAAAACAAATTTATTTACCCTCCCATCAAATAAATCGATTCTGCTGAAGTGTAAAATGTCAGGAAGTAAATGCCACACTTTGTCAAATTTATGGGAAGCGATGTCAAACTAAATAAAATATAAACTCCAAGTTTGACAGGCATCACAAAGTTAGAAAGACAAGGTAAGGTTCAAGTTTTATTTTACTACGATATTATTAATAATCAAACTATAGGTATTATATAGAATATTTTTTTAAAAAATCTTCAAAGTGTTCGGAATACTTTTTTTTCAAATTTTCCGTAAAAATAATTAATTGTATAAAATAAAAACTTTACTTACTTGTTTTTCAGCCATTACAAATAATTTGGTGCATTTTAAACTTTAATTTTCCTACTTCAATATTGTATTGGCCATCTAAAAAGAGATGAATGATCATGAGAAACTCAACAGATTATGTTATTCAGAGTTGAAAGAATTCTAAAAAAAAATATTTTTTGTTAAAAATTTCTTTACAAGAAATTGTATCAATTCAAAACTTTATTCGATATTTTACTGAATTTAAAAAAAAATGATTCAGCGTATTTTAAATTCCGATTTTATCAACCCAAACACGATACTGGTTGCTCAATACTCTAGCCAATGAAGAAACTGGGCGTAGCAATATATTTTTTTTATTTTAATTTGCCCAGTTAACATCTCTGCTAAAGAGTTAAATGCATATTGTCATCTAACACACGGCACGGATTTTCTATCTCTTAATTTTATCTAACTCTTGAATTTTTATTTCATTCTCCATTATATTCTCTCTGTTATATTATACTGACAGTTTTCAAAAATCAAAAATTAGAGGCAGAAAAATCGTTAAGATTTTAAATTAAACTTTAACGCATATTCGAGTGGCAAGAAATATATTTTTTCCCCAATTATATATTTTTTCCAAATTTTAGGCACCGTTACACAAGAACTATGAAATGATTGTAGAATGATATGTTAAGCATTAAAAATTGTACTTTGCCAAAAGTGTTTTTAATATTTTTTATGCTTTTATATATTAATTTAATCTAAGATTAAATTTATTAAATTATATTACTTAAAAAATTAAATTATAAGATTAAATTAAAGCATGTTTTATACAAGAATACATTGTTCACAAAGCTATACAATGTTTGAATTTTCGGTAAAATAACCTGCTGTAGTCAGTCAATCCGATTAATCATAAAGTTACGGTTAGGAACATTTCTTTATTTGTAGGGTTTTGAAACCGTTTACAACTGATACGGTTTAAAAAGCAGTGAGTACAAAAATGCACGGTCTCGTAATTTAATACAACTAGCATAGTTTTTTTTTGTCGTATTCCTGTTTAGGCAGTGGGGGTGCGATTGTTCCAGTTTTTCAGTGGCGCCATCTATGGCCAGGAATTCGACTTCTGCCATGCCATTCACACAACCACAACCCGTTTATACGGTGGATCACATTCACACATAATGGAGAAAGGACATAGAACACACAGAGAGAGAAAAAAACATCCATGTATTGACCGAGATTCGAACCCAGGACCTTTCTGGTGCAAGGACAGTTCCCTACCCCCTGCACAGACCGGTCGGCAGCATAGTTTCTAATCCATAAAAAATAAAACTTAAACAGTTTAAGCCTTGTGTGTGCTGCGCCATTTATGCGTAAATGATAGTTTCGTATTCTAATAGTCTAGGGTCACTGATTGATGATTTCTGAACTCAACAAACTCTTCATGTATAGAAGGAATGGATAAATTATCGTGGTATCAACGCTGGTATTCAAAAACCTGTTCAGCCTGATATGGGATTGGCCGACTAGCCCACTCAGCATGCACCCTGCTGCATGGAACAAAATGGCTTTAACCCCTTGACATACTTAGACGTCTGGGAGACGTCATTTGTTTCTTATGTCTAAACAATAATTGACTGTCATAGACGTTTTCAACACAGAGATCCCAACTTGCTCCAGACAGCTAATAAATATTTTAAAGTGGTAGTTTATCAATTGTGACTCTCGGTTTATTAAATTCAATTTAGTGAATTTTAATCCACCACTATTTCTAAATAATTCGTAGGCTTTTATAATTCAGCACTTTATAGTAGTTATGTCATGTTATACCTTTTAAAAAGCAATCAAAAATAGTCAAATATTTTCAAAATTTAGTTTGTAGTTATTTACTGTTTTTTTTAATCATTTTGGCGTGTCCGGAGCAGTTGGCATCTCGGTCAACATTTCGTTGCGAGTTGTTGTTCACAATGCAATCAAAGATCATTTCTATATCAAGAAATTAATTCCGCACAGTTTAGAGTTTTAAAATAATATGTCAAGGGGTCAAATGGTCTAGTTGGCGTGGATAGAATTCTGGTTGTTAAACCATATTAGGTAAAAGCAATCAACAAACGCTTTATTCTCACACTTAACAGTTTGAATATTACCCTTTTTATGGTTATTTAACTGTTACGGTTTAATATGCTTAAATAACAATTAATTAAATTACTATTTAATCCTATTTAATCATTTTTAACGAGAAATTTCTCACAATGTACCATCTAACAAGTTAGATAAAAAGTTAAATTCTCAATACTCGATATTGATTTCAAGATTTCATTCTAGCTTTCCGCGAAAACAGGAAATTACTTTAAGAAAAGAAATACTTAAGCTATTTTTTATTTGAATTGAAACTACTCATTTCTATGTTTGTTTTAAATTTACAAGAAATGCAAACGCATGATTTAGAAAACATTAAAAAAAAATTATTGTCAAATTATTTTAAAAATTGTGACATAAATCTCATCATTATTCTAGACTGGCTCTTAATGGTTGATTTTACAATAGTAACTTTAAAAAAAATGTGTGGAAAACAAAAAAGTATATTTTTACATCTACCGACTATGTTTACATCTACCGACTATAGGCTAGGCTACCGACTATAGGCTAGGCTACCGACAATGTCGGCCATCATCTATCTAAAGGTACTAGAAGATAAAATCGAGCTAGTAAATTGGAATTGAATAATAGTAGTGGTATTTAAGCTACAATACTCCCCAACCAGAATGTTATTTGGGATAGAATTCATGGAATGGATATCACTAGTTGATTCAGTGCTGTTGAATCCGGGAGAGCTATATTAATATCACTGGTGGTCACTCCTGTGTTGCTAATAGCCGTCGAGTGTGTATAAGTTCCTGTTGTCTGTGATCGAAACTGAGTAGCAACAGTAGCAACGTGAGAAGCGCGATATGCAGTCACAAGTAGCAAGTCAACTTTGATGTATCCCATTCATCAAAGTAGGCGCGTTCATATTACATCCGAAAGTAACCAATATGAGTGTAGGCTGCCGACAATGTCAACCATCATCTATCTAAAGGTACATCCATATAGAATCGAATTAACATGTTTTACATACTAGTGAAATGGAATCAAATAATTGTAATGGTAAATACGTTACAAATTATACTTAATCTATTTTTTTCCCAAAAAAAATTATAATTGGAATTAAAATAATATAATAATATAATTATAATTACTCTGCATATAATAATTTTATAAAGGGTTATTTAATAATTTTACTTAAGAATAAGCAAAATAATCAACAAAGTTATGTGATGGTAGTTTATGTGCGTAAGTTACATTATATCCCATGAATCCAGAAAGAAAAACTAAATAAATCATGAAATTGGAATGAAAATCCTCTAATTAGACATTCTTCGAGAATCTTTTTTTGGAAGAAAATCTAAGAGAGAAACATGATTTCAAGAGGCTTAAAGGGGGAAATTTTGTTTGCGTGGCTTAAAGCTTTTGTCGTCGAAATTCTTTTAATTTAATCTTTTATCAGAGAGAGGATTTTAGTTAAGTTAAATAGTTCGTAAAGATTTTTTCCTCTGTTAAAATTTTATTAAAAGTTGAAAATTTGTGTAAAATATAGCATTGTACATTATTTATTGTTAAATTAGGAAATGAGATTATTAGTAGTATATTTGAATCAGTTTCAATGAAAAACAACAATTTTACTACTTTGACTTAACACATTTTGACTTAAAACGCAATAAAATTAATTTATTCAAAATTTAAAATTTTGAATCCGTGTTTAAACAGAAATTAACAAGTACAAAACTAACACTTAGAATCTCGAATGTTTGATTAGTTTCCTCATTTGAATATTTGAGTTACATTTTCAAGATTAAAAAAAATCCATTTTAATTAAATATATGTGCAATCGAAATTCACCAGAACGTATATGTTCATTCAGTTAGTGTAGGATTTTGTAACTAACTTAATTGTTATATAAATGGGGCTCTAAGAAAAAACATATGGTCGAAACTACCAGAATATGGTAAAATTTACCGCATTTCTGACTCACAAAAACAATTATAAAATTTAACAGCAAATGATAGAATAATCGATAGAATAAAAATAAAAGAGCGACTATGCTTGCTTTTAAAATATTAATGTAAACTGATCATCCGTTAACCATTTTCCTACGACCTATAACAAAGAAATGAAACACGAAAAAAAGTGCAAGGAGAAAAAAAAATATGATCGAGCAAGCAGAATGTAATAAAATTTACAGCGTTTCCGACCCTATGGGAGGAAATCGTTAATTTTTGCGAAGCACTTTGGTAATAATTTCGGTAAAATTAACAACAAAATATAACCTCATAATATGCAATAAAATTTCGTAAATATGGCAAAATTTGGTAATTTTATAATACCTCAGAGCAAGGTATAAAAACCATTCACTCGTCTAAAGTTACTTTTAAGTTTTGCTTTATACTACATATTTGGTAATAGAAACTATAATTTTGGAAACTACAATTTCTGGTAAACAATTAGCATACGAACGAAAAAAATTACCAAATGAATGGTATGAATACCATATATTAAAACTTTTATTACCAGATTTATGAGGTACAGTACTTTATGACAAATCTGGTTACTTTTATTGCCAGAATTACTATATAGTACAGTAATTTTACCAGATTTATTACTTTCATGCGTTACCCGTATCAAACTATCACAATTATACTTAAATACACGAAAATCCAATTATTTGATTAAAGGTTATTTAGATTTACTTCTTATTATCTCTTTTGTTTCTTGTATTGTGCGTTCTATGTTTATACTTAGTGTAAATGAATTTCAAGCAATTTACTCGCTAAGTTCCCGTGAATAAAAAGTTTCTGTTAGCGATTTTTTGATTGAAATGTGCGTTATAGAAAGCGGGTACCTCTATAGCCAGAGCAAACGAAAAACGTTCTATCCGCAATGCTATTTTCTTTCTTTAACCGACAAAATAAAGATTTTTTTTCTTTGGTGTCCTAGTGAGTGCTTGCGTCTATCCCGGATCTCCTGCTCATTCCAGCATTGCCTTTAGTATCCTCTGACACTACAAATATCAT